GTGAGGATCACAGTATGAGGATCGTTTGAACTCACAATGATTTCACCTATTACTTACATCGTGAGGATCACAGTATGAGGATCGTGTGATGTCACTGTGATCATCGCATGATCTCACGTGTTGACTGGGTATCAAAAGTCAAATAGTGTTCAAACAGGTAATTCCATTTTTAGAAATATAATTAAATAAAGTTAAAACAAAGTAGTGACACATTTAATCAAATGTTACTGTATAAATATAGTTATAGAACAGAATAACATTCTAGAATCTGAAGTTTGTTTTTTTTTCTCTCAGATAATGATAAGGCTGTCATCGGATTCTTGGTGTTCCTCATCCTTGTGACGTCACTTGCGCTCCTTTTTGTGTTATACAAAATGTTCCTGCTCAAAAGAAAACGGTCAGTTTGTCAAATTGATTATTTTCAATTGGCATAAAAGGATTAATGGATTAACATTAGCATAAATGTGTAACTATGTTTCTCATGGGATTTCTCACCAAAGGAGTGCTGAAGATGAAGAGATTCCTCTTACCCGTATGTTATTTGCTCCAATCAATCAATTCATGTTTATTTCGAAAGTAAACTGATTTTAGAAGAACTATCTGATGTTTCATGTCCTCCAGCAGAACCGCTGCGCAGAGTTGAGCCCATCTATGCCGAGGGTTTGGTGGATGCTTACCTGAGCAAGATCGCTGATGAGAGCCGTCTGTTTATGGATGAGTTTCAGGTGATTCTCTATACCATTCATCTGCAGAAGCTGCATTTAAGGTTTTAATATAATGAGAAATACATTCAGATTCTGCTTCTCCTCAGAGCATTCCCCGCATTTTCTCCAATTACACCATCAAAGAAGCGAAGAAACAGGAAAACCAGTCCAAGAACCGCTACGTTGACATTCTGCCTTGTAAATATCACTCCAGTTTTCATAAAGAAATCAGTATAAACAATTCCTCATGTAGTTTTCAAATTTTATTAGAGAATTGATCATTTTGTGCATGAATTTGCAGATGACTATAATCGGGTTATTCTCTCAGCTGGAGGCGAAGACAACTACATCAATGCCAGCTTTATCGAGGTATGGGTCATTTATCCTCTAGCTATATATCATTCTTGTTTACCTCAACTAATTTTAATATAACTTTATTGAAATTAATGGAGGTCATTTTTAAATACATTTTCAATATTATACTTAACATTCCAATTAAACAATACTTATTTATTTAATTGTTAACATGTACTGTAACTCATTAACCCTTACAGGGATATCAAGAGCCAAAGAAATACATTGCAGCCCAAGGTAAAAATCCTCTTATTAAATGGATGGTTATGATTCTAAATTGTGATTGGCTAAGCCACATTTAAAGCAGCCAATGAATGCACACTTTTACCCAACATTCTATATTACTGTTGCCTGATAACCATCAAAATTGTGGCAGAATTGTTTACACCAACATTTAGGGTTATTAAAAGTGAAAATTTCTGAAGTTTAAACAATGGCTAGATTTTGATTTTTTTTTGTTGGACGTGTTTTCCAGGACCCAAGGATGAGACTGTTTGTGACTTTTGGCAAATGGTTTGGGAGCAAAAGTCATCCATTATTGTCATGGTCACCCGTTGTGAGGAAGGAAACAAGGTTGTGTTTGGTCCAGTGTTGTAGAATTTTTTTATAGTATTTATTCATATTTTTGTACTTTTTATTAGTTATTTGTTCATTATTTCCACTCACTGTTGCTGTTTGTCCTCTCAGATCAAATGCGCTCAGTACTGGCCATCTCTGGACAGAGAGACTGAGATTTTTGACGATTTTGTGGTGAAAATCCGATCTGAGCAACACTGCCCTGATTATACCATACGCCATCTGATCCTGAACAATGTAAGTGTGTGTGGTCCGCTTATTCTTATGTGCTTCATTCAGACGGTTTTAACTTAATGCGTGTGTGTGTGTGTGTGTGTACAGAAGCGAGAGAAGGCCTCAGAAAGAGAAGTAACTCATATCCAGTTCATTAGCTGGCCTGACCATGGTGTGCCTGGAGACCCCTGCCTGCTTCTGAAGCTCAGGAGAAGAGTCAACTCCTTCAAGAACTTCTTCAGTGGCCCGGTTGTGGTCCACTGCAGGTAAGACAGGGCTGTAGGGATTATTATGTGCATTTGGTATCAAAAAGGTCATTGACTAAAGGGTCATTTGGAGTGGATAAAGCTTAATGTGAATGTTGTTGTATCTTCTATAGTGCAGGGGTCGGCCGCACAGGAACATATATCGGCATTGATGCAATGATCGAATCTCTCGAGGCAGAGGGCAGAGTGGATATCTATGGATACGTAGCAAAACTACGTCGCCAGCGTTGCCTCATGGTTCAAGTGGAGGTGATTTGATTTAATTCACTGATTTATTGGTAATAAATTTGGTGTGTCACACCAAATTTGAAGTAGGTATTATTAAAAAGCCCAAATTGGTCTAGATGTTATACTCTAATCATTTTCAAATTATTTTATATATAATTAATGATGATACTTATTTTGTTAACAATTTAAATATCTATTTAGCAGTTTATTTAAATATTTTAATATTTATTTAATTAGTTCATTTTAAGTCATTTATTTAAATAAAATGACCAATTATTGGTCATTCATTTTTAGTCATTTAAGATTAATAAACATTTTAAAAATACCTATGTGAAATTTCTGTCAAACATTTTGTAGTATTTAGAATTTACGTTTTTACATTTACATTTGCATTTGTGTATATACATGTAAATTAAACCTATGTATTAAAATTTACATTTTAATGGAAAGTTAATTGAACATTTATATGTTTTTGAAAAATATTAAAGGGTTAGTTCACCCAAAAATTTAAATTAGACTGTGTTTTACTTACCCTCGAAGCATCCTAGGTGTATGTGACTTTCTTCTTTCAGACGAATCCAGTCGGAGTCAGATGAGATAAAAAATTGTCCTGGCTATTCCAAGCTCTATCATTGAACAGTCCACAAGTCGTCAAGTAAAGCTTGCGCATTCATAATAAAACGTGCCTCAAGGGGTGAATAAAGGCCCCCTGTAGTAAATCCATGCGTTTTTGTAAGAAAAATATCCATATTTCAAATGTAATAAACACTTTTCTCTCACTTCCGGTATATGTCATACGCGGAAGCCGTTCCGGCGGATGACGCAGCACGTATGCGCAGCGCGCGCGCCTCTGAGATATGCTAGTCTCACGAGTTTGTTTATAGGAGCAAAGGAAGCAAAGTTTCCTTACTTTAGCAAAGGAAAACCAGTCTCCTCTTGGTTTATATCGAAATCCTCCGACATTTTTCTTTGCAAATCTTTGGTTTGTACTTCTAATTCGTGACCGGCGTTTTGTTTTGTTCTCTCTCCGCATTCGTCACTAATCACGCAACGCCGACCTGCTGCGTCATCCTCCGGAACTGCTTCAGTGTATGAGTCAGCGGAAGTGAGAGAAAAATGTTTATTACGTTTGAAATATGGATATTTTTCTTACAAAAACGCATGAATTCACTACAGAAGGCCTTTATTCACACCCCAGAGCCGTGTGAAGCACGTTTTATTATGAATGCACACGCTTTATTTGACGACTTGTGGCCTGTTCAACTGCAACACCCGCTGACTGCAATGATAGAGCTTGGAATAGCCAGGACAATTTTTAATATAACTCCGACTGGATTCGTCTGAAAGAAGAAAGTCATATACACCTAGGATGCTTCGAGGGTGAGTAAAACACAGGCTAATTTTCATTTTTGGGTGAACTAAC